GAATATATGAAGGAGGGAACACGTGTGTGGGTCAAGAATTCCACTTACGAATAGTACGACAAAGAAATGAGTCGCCAAATTTCTTTGTTCGTGTAGGAATAGTGACCACAGTAAGTCGGTGGCAACGTAGGCCAGCGCGCGTGGTCCTCTGAAGAAAAGGTGATGGAGGGATAAGCGAGAATAGCTCCTCAGAACACTCGCCGTGAATGGACTCGTTTCCAAAGTTTATAAAGTAAATACGAACGCAAACAGGCCGCACGACCGCTTCGTATCTTTTGTCCTTTTTTGTCCATATAGAATTTATACCTGTAGGTATTACATTTTTTTTTTGAGTGTGTATGCTGTTGGTCGCAGATGACCTTTACAGCGTCACCGAATATGGGGACGGCGAGATCCTTACGGGACCTCAAGCCGAGAATTGGCGATTGCCTCTAGAGGTATTCCAGGCGTATGGCATCTCCCCACGGGGGAGTCTCCTCTCCGTCTGGAGCCTTTAGACCACTCGAATCTGAGGGGGTCGGCTCAACTAGAGGGCGTCTCTGAGACTCGGACCTCGGCTGTAGTTAGCCGTTGTATGTTTGTATGTTTGTACCGAGCCCAAACGTCGCTAGCTGTTTTGTCAAAAAGCCTCCATTGTGTCCCATACATACAAGGCTAGACAAAACGTTTTTAAACTTGCAAGAGTAGGTTTCCTATGGAAGAGAACCTACGCATTTTCTCTTTCTAGAGAAAAGTTGTAATAAATAATAATTAATTTCGATATATATTATTTTAAAAGTTTATATTGAATTGTTTTTGTCATGATTTATTATTTTAATTTCAATTACTGTACTGTATAATTAATATTGTATTTGTAATTATGAATGACTGAAGTAGAATGGGAAGTAGACTGGGGTAGAATTGATCAAAACCCTTTCTTAGCGGATGCCTACGTCATAACATCTACCTGCATGCCAAATTTCAGCCCGATCCGTCCAGTGGTTTGGGCTGTGCGTTGATAGATCACTATATCAGTCATTCCCCTTTGAGTTTTATATATATAGATTACATTTGACACTAAAGTTCAAAAATTTAAAAACCACGATAAAATTGAAACTTTTTAAATTAATTAATAAAAAGAATCCTTCCTCGGCTGGAATTCGAACCTCTCGTATCAGGCGAGCACCGATGCATGATGATAAGGTTAGTTTTTTATAACAATAAATAATCTAATACGAAATACTAAATTGGAACGGAAAAAATGTATAGCGATGTAAAAAAGTTTATTAAAAGTTTAGAGTATTGCTAAATCCTTGATTGATTATTTCATTGATGAACGTGAAAAATTATTAAGTAGGATTTTTTTATGATTTTTTTTATTTTTTAAGCATTTAACTGCTAGATGTTTAAATCTAAAGAAAAGTTTACTAGAAAAAAATCCACGCGGACCAGGCAGCGGACGGGACTCGAACCCGCATCCTTCGCTATCCGAGCGAATGCACTAACCATTATGCTACCACGGCCTTATTAGCCGCGTCGAAATTTTCCTAGCCTTAAGCTACAAGGTAGCGCCATCTCTTCGCATTGTAGGTAACCCACAATGTCAAATGAATACTTTTTCAAGTATTAAACATTTGCCGCTAATAGGGCCGTGGTAGCATAATGGTCAGTGCATTCGTCCGGATAGCGTAGGATGTTTTTGTTAAGAAAAACGTACCTTTACCGCAAGTTAGCTGGGCGGAATTAACTGCCACGGGTTATCTTATAATCTCTTTACCGATGTACTTATAATGCTTTTAACTTGTTTGCTAATTAAATTTCTTGCCTACGCAACGCAGCAACAGTAATTATTTGTGTAAATCTCATTTATGATAAAATTAAATGATTTCTTAACCTCTGTAAGCCGGGAAAGAGGATATAATATTTTGTTTTCTAAATGGGAATGTATGAATGTGAGATTTTTAAATGGGTTTGTATGAATTCTGTGGCTAAAGATCTAAACGCTTTACTCGACGGAAACAATATATATATATAAAACTCAAAGGTGACTGACTGACATAGTGATCTATCAACGCACAGCCCAAACCACTGGACGGATCGGGCTGAAATTTGGCATGCAGGTAGATGTTATGACGTAGGCATCCACTAAGAAAGGATTTTGATCAATTCTACCCCCAAGGGGATAAAATAGGGAATGAAAGTTTGTATGAAACTTTGTCAATTTTAAACCGATAGAGCTGAGACTTTGCATGCAGGTATAAGAGGAATCATAGATGAATCAATGAATGATGAACCGAAGCGAAGCGAGGGCGGGCCGCTAGTTCAATATATTATGCTATGCTTCGAATATGGATTATGACTAATCAAAAAGTATTCGAAAAGTATTTTAGTTTTTTCACGTCATCAAAACATTACACAGATAATATTGATTTGAACGTCACGTCTTGGTACAATTTTTACTTATTAGTGACGTAACGAGCTCCCACTCCCCAAACTTAGACGCGTTCATCTTTGCAATTAAATTTTTGGTTGATTGACAAAATAGAAAAATGTAGTGTATATTATTTTTTGATCATTATCTGACGGACCAAATAGAATTTTGTTTACGGACGGTACCAAGACACACTTGGTCATCGTCATGCCACATTGCCAAGCAATATATCTCTGTCATGTTAATTTTTATTATGGGCAGAAAGAAAAAGTACGTGTCCAATACTTTTTTGATTATATACCTAACAGCAGAATACTGCTACTCTGCTAATAACGCAAGGTATGTATGCCTTGAAAGTATGTACGTTTGCTGTATGTCAACACCCAGCTGACCCAGCAGAAAAGTATGAAAATCTATCATGAGTTCCCTACCTCTTACAAACCGGATTCCTTTAAACAACAGGCCAGCTAGATGAGGATAGCTGGTGTGGCCTGTAGAACTGCTGTACTAGCTATCTTCGCGTATGGACTCCATCGTCACTTAACATCAGGTGGAGATTTCAGAACTTTAAAATTACTAGCGGCCCGCCCTCGCTTCGCTTCGGTGTAGAGCTGAAGTGTAGACTACAGTTTTTGTTCTCAGGCTTGTATTATACACAATGACATTCATCTATTATTATTTTTATACCTGCATGCAAAGTCTCAACGCGATCGGTTTAAAATTGACAAAGTTTCATACAAACTTTCATTCCCTATTTTATCCCCTTGGGGGTAGAATTTATCAAAATCCTTTCTTAGCTTTAGCTTTCTTCCTACGTCATAACATCTAGCTGCACGCCAAATTTCAGCCCGATCCGTCCAGTGGTTTGGGCTGTGCGTTGATAGATCACTATGTCAGTCTTTTGAGTTTTATATATATAGATTGACCCTTTAAGCGAAAATTGTCATTTGTTTGTTTGTAATAAATTCTTTATTAGCTATACACATATATTGAATATGGTTCCTCAATGCTATTAAATAGGAGTTAAGTATCGAAACAAAACAACAAAGATCAGAAAAAGATTCTAATCTAAATGTATATACCTAGTGATAGGTATATCGTCTACTTAACATGTAAAATTGCTAAGTTATATACCTAGTGATAGGTATATCATCTGCTTAACATGTAAATTTGCTAATGTATATACCTAGTGATAGGTATATCATCTGCTTAACATGTAAATTTGCTAATGTATATACCTAGTGATGGGTATATCGTCTGCTTAACATGTAAATTTGCTATCTCCACTTAATTAAAGGAGTTGACAAATTTACGTAAAAGATGTATTCACATTAAAGGAAACAAACGCGATTGTTAGATAATTTTTGACCAAAAGTGGAGTTAGCAAAATTACTTGTTAAGCAGACCATATTAGCGATTATAGCAAAGAATGGTACAACCAAAACATAGATTTTTCTTTGGATATTAGGTAAAACTCTGATAATATATAATTTTCGTCTGTGCAGTAGTTATACTTTACTAATTGTGTCGATAAAATGAAACATTAAGTTAGAAAAAATCGTGTCGAAACACCTGTCCCTTAATGCCTTCAATATAGCTGCCTTTTCGTAGCTTGCGCGAACCGGCGACAATCAAACTCTGCTTTTTGAATGCCATTTGTAGAACTCATATTTCTACTTATATGTATACTAGCTGACCCAGCGAACTTCGCACCGCCCTAAAAAAATAGGGGTTGTCCAGCGGACAAAATTGTGAATCTAAACCATTCTCAGATCCCCTTGAACACACACAAAAATTTCATCAAAATCGGTCCAGTCGTTTAAGAGAAGTTCAGTGACATACACACTCACAGAAGAATTATATATATAAAGATAAGAAGAAGAATTGCAATGAAAGAATATTAAAATGATCTCGTATTTAGTATTTTATTCATAAATCTATTTATATTTTAGTGTAAACGCAAGAGGGTAATCATTGTGAGAGGGCCAACATTAATTTTTTTTAGTGTGTTTGCTGTTGGTCGCTGATGACCTTTACAGCGTCACCGGGTTCTGGGGTTTGGGGACGAGATCCTTAGAACCTCAAGCCGAGAAATGGCGAGTGCCTCTTGAAGTATTCCAGGCGGATGGCATCTCCCCACGGAGAGTCTCCTCTCCGTCTGGAGCCTCTAGACCTCTCGAACCTCAGGTGTCGGCTCAACTAGACGTCTCGCCGTCTTCTCTGAGACTCGGACCTCGGCTCTAGTTAGCCGTTGTCGTGGGGGGCGGGAAAAAACGCCTAAGTACCTACCTGTACCTGGTATAGCGTGTGTAGACCGGGTCTTCGCACTCTTATCCTACGGGTGCGGTGTCTGCCTAATGCTAAGCTAATGAGCAAGTATGCTAGCTGTGTAGTGTTGGTGATTGTAGTCTGTGTGGGAGGATTCGGAGGCGCGTTGGCGATGTGATTTCGTCGTCGAGGTACTCTAAGACATGCCATGACGTAATCGGAGGGACGCTAACATTAGTACAGGTTCCCCTATGTATAAAACGAGATGTGCCATCCAACATTGACAAAGCTTTTCAGGCTAAATTATATTTTCCTTTTCCAGGGCGGGCACTTCGGTAAAGGCAAACACCAGGAGGGTCATCATCAACACCACAAGGGCGATTCGGGCCACTTCCAGAAGGGCGGCCATGCGGTCGGCCACAAGGTAAAACCACCTTTATTGACTGACTGACAAAACTGTTAATGGATAATCGTCTTAACCAGGCTTTTAGCTTTGGAGCGGTCATGCAGTCTCATCATCATCATTAGCCTATAATGGGACATCATGCAGTCTCATCATCATCATTAGCCTATAATGGGACATCATGCAGTCTCATCATCATCATTAGCCTATAATGGAACATCATGCAGTCTCATCATCATCATTAGCCTATAATGGGACATCATGCAGTCTCATCATCATCATTAGCCTATAATGGGACATCATGTAGTCTCATCATCATCATTAGCCTATAATGGGACATCATGCAGTCTCATCATCATCATTAGCCTATAATGGGACATCATGCAAACTCATCATCATTAGCCTATAATGTCCCCACTGCGTTTGCACAGGTCCTCCTTATGGATGGAATAGGAAGACTGGGCCGTGACCCACCACACACGCCCAGTGCGGATTGGTGCTAACGTCTGCAGATGCAGCTGGGAACAATGAGCTTAAATTGTTTTCTAAAATATGTAGGACCTAGAGATACACTACATATACCAGTTGTGTGAAACAAGGAGAAGGTTGAAATAAAACATTTTTGGTCACCCATCCGATGGCCGGCCATTGAGAAAGTTGCTTAACGCCCGCAATCGCAGGCCGAACAAGCTAACCACTGCGCTATCGAATTCCTCCTTTTTATCAAACTAATATTCCTAACACTCACACCAATTAGCCTAGCCCCAAAGTAAGCAATGTAAGGCTTGTGTTATGGGATATTAGGGGAATGGATGGAATACATTTACTGATTTATTATATGAGTGCATTTATCTAGAAATATATTAAAACATCCTTAAATATGACTTAGGTACATCATCATCATCATCAGCCTATTAATGTCCCCACTGCTGAGGCACAGGCCTTCCCTATGGATGGAATAGGGAAATTGGGCCATGACCCACCACGCGGGCCCAGTGCGGATTGATGGGTGCTAACGACTGCAGATGCAGCCGGGACCAACGGCTTAACGTGCCTTCCGAAGCACGGAGGGGCTGGAGATACTAAATTTTTGGTCACCCATCCAATGACCGACCACTGCGAAAGTTGCTTAACTTCAACGATCGCAGCCGAACGCGCTAGCCACTTGCGCCATCGAGCTCCTCTACTACTACATCGAGCTACTTAGGTACAAATGCTCGTATTAATCATCAACCAAGCCTTGTACAAATAAAAATAGTTTGTCATTATATTTATCAAAACGACCGTTTCTCAAACAATCTAAGTTTCACAAGTTAAGTGAAGTATGAATTAAGCAACGCCCTTTTTTGTCAGTCTACCTTGTTAGTTGGTTTGACTTATATTGCCGAGGTGAATGACCTACAACAGTATTTTAGCTACACTCGTGGCGCAGTAGTTTGTTAAAGCGATCAGTGTACGATTGTGAAAGTCAAGCAACTTTCACAATGGTCGGTATGGGATGGGTGACCAAAAATTTTTCTCCGTGCATAAATCCGGCTGGATTCGTTAGCACCTACTAAAGAACACGATGGTCCTAGGACCATCTTAAAACTAGTTTTATCTGGATAAATTCGTTAAATCCCACTAAACCACACCAAGCAAGATCGGTTTTCCTTTGTTTACAATAAAACTACGCTGATGATACTTTACAGGAGCTCGATGGCGCAAATGGTTAGCGCGTTCGGCTGCGATCGTTGAAGTTAAGCAACTTTCGCAGTGGTCGGTCATTGGATGGGTGACCAAAAATTACTATCTCGAGCTCCTCCGTGCTTCAGAAGGCACGTTAAGCCGTTGGTCCTGGCTGCATCTGCAGTCGTTGGCACCCACTAATGGCCCAATCTCCCTATTCCATCCATAGGGAAGGCCTGTGCCCCAGCAGTGGGGACATTAATAGGCTGATGATGATGATGATGATGATGATACTTAATAATAATAATCATAACTATTTATTTCAGGCATACTACCCATATTACATACAGCAATAGAAAAAAATGATAATCAAATTAAATAATTACAATCACAATAATAATAATAAAAATATAAATTTCCTAATTAATTACAATTCATTTAAATTACATCATAAACCAATTATCAATCAAATAAAATCAAAAACAAATAAAAATAAAATAAATAAAATAAAATCGATTACAGCAGGCAAGGATATATCAAATATCACAAATGTCATATTTACAGCAGTCATACACAGCACTAATTATTAAATTACAACTCACTAGCAAACCAGTGAACCAAATGTTCACCAAAACCTGATTTAAAAAAAACGTATTTAATTAATTGAGAACTTCGGAGATTTTGTGTGGTTTCGTTTGAAATTCGTGATTTCTCGAAAACTGGAAGTGCTACGTTACTCAAATCTGGTTTGTAGTCTTATCAGACTATTCTTAACTTAAACATTCTCTTTATCTATCTCTTACGGTTTGGCCGCTGAAACAGCACCAAAGACAGACAGACGGACGGACGGACTTGTCTAATAGATAAGAGATTCTAATGCGATCCATAAAGGGAGCGGCTCTTTTTCTCATTACAGCATAGAAATCATGAACCCTATTCTCCGCAAACATGCCCGACGCACTACACCGCCGACCTAACGGAAATACTTACATTATGATGTATTGTGGGTTCCAACGGCTATAATCTTAAAATTGGATTCAAAAGTGGACTCCAAAGAAAATAAATGTTGACTCAATTACTACTAAAATCTACTCATCTCTGATTAGTATGTTTTTCAAAGTTTTCGGTAATTTAGTCTTTTCGAACCTTCAATTTCATATATCTCAAACTAAGTTATTATATATCGTTAATATAAACACATTAGGTTAATGCTCAATGCTCAATGTTTTATTGCTTTCCATAAGTTATACAAGATGTTACAAAATAATATGCACAATCATGGACCCCGTCGGGCACAGCAATCAATTAATTACAGAGGGAGAGTAACACCTTTGATTACATAAAAACGCTAATAAGTACCCTAGCTGACTATTACAATTTAGAATTTATATAATATCTATCTATAATAAATTAAAATAGGTATTAAATTTTATTTCATTCTATAAAATCACGAATAATAATAATAATAATGTGTATACTAATTCATTAATTGTAAAAAAGATAATACGAACAAATTAAATAAAATATACGCAAATAAAATTTATTTAAAGTTATATAAAAACAAAATACAAAACACAATTATTTACACAATTGAGAATAAAGTATTCTCAACAAGTTAACCAAATAGTTAACCAAATAGTTCTATCATCCCTCGAATTTTTAACATTCTAAATTTTTCTAACATATCTCCATCAATTTTATTCCCCTTTATTGTTCAATATAAAGCAAAAGTTTGCCCCTTTCATTGTTTGCCTTTACTTTTCCTCCGCTTTGGATTGATTCATTCCTTACTCTTTGCAGATCTTACAAACAGGCTCCAGGTACCTCTTAATTTAAAATAACCATTTCACTTCACAAAATCATAATAAGTAGTGTATTATTTATAGTGTGATCTTAAATTCCTCAACAGATTAGCGTTTAACAGTGTAAAATTTGTTTTTCTTTTTACTGTAAAGGTACATTTTAATATGAGATTACAGACAAAGTTTTCCAATGGCGTCGCAAAGAAAAGAATGTCTTTATGTTATAAAGTTCTACTTTATTAGTAACATCCTACGCTACGTACCGTCGCGTGCCCACTATCCAACATTGCAAGCTTCGTAATATTATTTTTAATCTCTGTTGTTCTTAACTCTTCATAGTTTGTACTGCAATAATTATATAGATTATTCCAGCTGGAAACTTTTTAATTTATTTCTACGGCTACATTTTTCTTGAAAATTGGTGTCCCGTTATCGCGATAAAACTACTAATGAACTACGATAATACAAAATATTGCGGGAATTTAGACGTGAAGATAGTTTTTTTCTCTGGTGAAGTTTTTCTGGCCAAGTGGTAGCAATGAGGCAAAAGGTCTCTGAGGTCTACTCATCCGTCAAATCGCGGATGTCGTCATAGTCTATGGATCAAATTAAAAGTTCGTTCAATAGATATACAAAGACCTCATGCCACAGTGACGCCAACTGGTGACGTAAACTTTCATCAACACCCTCATTCTAATATTCAAATATTACTCAAGTCCATTATTTACTTACGATACGACAGTGAATGTACTATAATATGCAGATACGTGCAAACCATATTAAATCTAGCTATCAAACAGAGCCCGCGAATGGTAGCCAACTGCACGAATACTATCGCGATAAAACCTTTTGATGTGCATCAATTGAAACAACTTTGTCGTAATGCTAATTCGCGATAGGACGTTTTTTAATCGCAGACAGACAGTATAAAATAATTATAATGCCTGCCTGCTTCAATCCCAACCGATCTCTTGAAGATCAAGAACAATTCTTACCAACCAAACCAAGGTGTTTCGCTGAGGTCGAATTTGAACCGATTTTCTTGAAACAAAACGGGCTAAGTTTTCTTTTGTTTTATTTCCAGGGCCACCGCGCCTCTGGTGGTCACGATGGTCACAACAAGAATGGCCTCGCGCATCACCACGAGGAAGGCAAGAAGTCGGGCAAGAAATGGGTGTACCACCACGGCCATCCCGCGAAGACTGCTAATCTGGTCCTGATCGACAGGCGAGCGGACCAATATTACCACGGACCGCAGTACTACGGATAAAGATAGTTAAACCAATCTCATTAGTGAAGTTAAACTAGACTTATAGTAAGCTGTCAAAAACATGAGGAACTCTTAACTCGATATGCTATAATTGTGAAGATTTGTTTCTGTGAAAACAGCAGTGCTTTTCTGTACGAACAAACTCACTTTTCACTGCGGAATCCAGGTTTTGTCAAATTACGCTAGTAAATTCTGCGGTGAAAAGTGAGTTAGTTTACAGAATAGCACTGCACAATTGAAGTTGGAAATAAAAGGAATTAGTTATTATAAATATAATGGAATGAAGTGAAAACGGCGAACTATCTCATTTGCACTTATGGAGCGTGTAGCGATTACGTCATAGCTCTTAATAGTGCCCTCCCTGTTTTTTATTGGTTAAAACGTGATATTTAAATAATTTTCTTACAAATTCCTTTTACTTCACAATAAGTATATTTCTCATATGCGTCTCGTTGATTTGTGTTTAAAATCCTCTGAATTTTAAAATTTAGTATTAAAATTGATAATGATCTTTAATCTAATTGAATATATTGTCTCTTTTTCGAACCATAAATAAATGAAAAATTAGTAATGATATTGCATATTGCTCAAGATATTCATTTACATTTTCCAACTGCTTACTAATAAATATTAACGTGATATTTTGTTGTTATAGTAGCATTTTCTTTGGCATCTTTTTAAGATATGATTTAGCCAGTAAAACGTTTTGTTTTTGAAATAGTAAAACCATTTTATGAAAACCTAAGAGTATTTCTGCCAAATTTTAGAACGTGCCCGACCCTTATATAGGTATTTGTGGAAATCTGAATTTTTCAAAATATAACTTTGTTAACTTTTATTTACACTATGATGTAATTTAAAATTATTATTCTTACCTATGTTAACAGTTTTATATTAACGTGATAACTTTATTCTTTGAATCTGTGCTCGTATTTTGTGATATAATGTAGTTACGATAAATTTGATAATTTTTTTATAAGCTTTGTCTTGATTTTGTTTTTAATAATAAGTGCATTTTTACCTTATACTAATTATTTTAAGTCTAAAGCCATCTTTTTTTGGTACCTATTGTTAAATTATATTGTTTTTATGAATCCATTTTATATAACATACTTTATATATTGTAAATATATTATTCTGTATTGTAAATAAATATTATATTGTGTGTGTTGTTTGGAAAAGTTTTAATTTTTTATCTTTTCACTTACATGTGTTTGTTAATTTTGGAATAAAGTTTTGATATAAAATAATCTTTTGAGGATTTTGTTTCACCCTTTAACGTTCAAATTTATTAATCACTAGCGGCCCGCCCTCGCTTCGCTTCGTTGTAGAGCTGAAGTGTAGACTACAGTTTTTGTTCTCAGGCTTGTATTATACACAATGACATTCATCTATGATTCTTCTTATACCTGCATGCAAAGTCTCAGCCCGATCGGTTTAAAATTGACAAAGTTTCATACAAACTTTCATTCCCTATTTTATCCCCTTGGGGATAGAATTATCAAAATCCTTTCTTCGCGGATTCTTACGTCATAACATCTACCTGCATGCTAAATTGCAGCCCGATCCGTCCAGTGGTTCGGGCTGTACGTTGATAGATCACTATGTCAGTCACCTTTGAATTCTATATATATAGATGTCAGGATAAAATAAAGTATTTGCATTGGTCAAGATACTTATTACTTAAAATATCCATAAAAAATGGAGCTATGTAGTGTCTTATGTAGTATCTATTCATATTGATAATCTTCTTATTAAGGTGCTGTCCCACATTCTGTGTTGTCGCGGGCGACGCCACGTCGCTCAAGGTTGCCAATCGTATGAGAACTCTCACGTTCGGGATTTAACAGTATCTATACATGATACGAGGTAAATAAAAATCTCGTTCGAAAATCGACATTTTTTTTTAATGGGAGCTACTGGAAGGTTCACCTAACGTTTCTAATGATGGAAAAGTATTAATCTGCCGGTTTGCATGGATGTACGAAGAGGTTTAAAATACAAAAAAAATATATGCATACGAGTGCGTCAGACATTGAAAAGGAATATTACGTGAATCCACCATCAGTTTCTAATCAAAAGACTGATGATTTGGAGCTACTATGGGGGAGTGTTACACCGATCACAGGAATAGGTGTAAGGTTGACAAAAGAAGATTGATCAGCTTCCATACATGTTTGGCCTAAAGACCAATAATCATGAAAATTGTTTCCTGGATTCGAAATTATATATAAATTACTGTAGAAACGACTATTATTGACGGACACCCCTAAGAACTTCTATAACCCATATACACCGAACATATTTAAATAATAAAAAACAAATACGTTATATAGTAAACTAGGGAAATCAAGCCAAGTACCGAAATTATGGATTAGATTCAGGTTTATAGAGCATGTACATACATTAACAGATAGTTGCCTGTTTTTAAAGTTAATATATAACAGTAACTTTTAAAATCAGGTGTCATCTATGCATTTCCGGTTATAATACGGTACTCTGTGACAGAAACTGTGTGATGATTGTGAATGAGCCACAGATTAGAGAGAATTTTTAAACTCTCGTTAACCAAAGAAAGCTAAGAGATTTAGGTTATATAGCCGTATATTCAGTAGCTTCATTATTTTTGTTATGTTTTTAATATAACCATATTTTAGATTTTTAGTGTATCACACCTTATAATTTTATTTATTTATTAATTTATAGTCAGGCAACGTAGGCCCATAGATACCTTAAAGTCTAAACAGATTATAATGTGTTTATGGAGGTGTTTGGCGAAAAATGTATGGCAATAGACTTTATGATGTCGCCTACTATACAAAATAATTGTCTGAGCACATTTGCATGTAGTGAAAATGATAATATAGTTGTGAATATTAATACCACAGTGTAATAAAAAAATGATTTATTTTATCGATCTTTACAAAATAGATTTGTTTTATGTTATATAAACAACTTCGATCAGACTTTGGCTGAATGTTACTACACCCATAGCCATTAAAAATGATTCGTATGTTTTCCAAACCGGTAAAATTAAAAGTCCTTTTTAAAGTAAATATATTAAACAAAGGTGTCCGTTGAAATCTAATGACTGTAAATTAAATTATAAATTACGCCAAGAATTACCGTGTATGTCAATATTTTTTGTGCATTTGGGTAAATTTGAGCAATCTCCTTTGCTCGTTGTTCTTCTTATTTGTGTAAATTTATTTTTAAGTATTATTAAAGTATTATTGTAAGGACATCTAAAATCGGCGAGTAACATTTTTAATTTAAACATTTAAGCACGGGTTAGGACTTAGGTCCACTAGCATCAAAGTTCTAAAATGAAATTAAAAACAAAATTATGCTTGAGCCTTCCGTAATCCATCTGTATAGAATTCAAATAGTTGTCAAAGTTAAAGTGATTTTCTAAGCTGGATTAATCTTAAATTATAATTAAGAATCTCTGTGAATGTCTCATTTAGCAGCAACAAAAACATTTGGTTGTGTTATTATCTAATCTATATATATATAAAACTCAAAGATGACTGACTGACATAGTGATCTATCAACGCACAGCCCAAACCACTGGGCGGATCGGGCTGAAATTTGGCATGCAGGTAGATGGTATGACGTAGGCATCCGCTAAGAAAGGATTTTGATCAATTCTACCCCGAAGCGAAGCGATGGCGGGCCACTAGTTATTCATAAATATCTAAAACTAGCTGACCCGGCGCACCTCGTACCGGTCACATTAAGAGAATGTAGAAACTTTGAAATTTATGTGATTTAAGATTATCAAACAACATTTAAATAAGTTGAATATGCTATTAGATACATTAAGATAAATATATTAAAGAAAATTAAAACTAACTTCGAGACCAAAACAGCATCAACGCCGTATGGTATAGCACAGTATGCCTGCCCACAGATTTTTCTGCAATGAGCAACAAGCGAGAAGCTGGATGGCACAACTGGTTAGCGCGTTCGGCTGCGATCGTTGAAGTTAAGCAACTTTCGCAGTGGTCGGTCGTTGGATGGGATACCAAAAATTTACTATCTCGAGCTCCTCCGTGCTTCGGAAGGCACGTTAAGCCGTTGGTCCTGGTTGCATCTGCAGTCGTTAGCACCCACCAATACGCACTGGAACTTTTACATGCTTAATAAAATGATGTCCCTATATGGATTCACAAGGGCAACATGGTCCTTTTTCGAAGCCAGTCACGGGAAAGGTGCGGCAGATGGAATTGGAGGGGCGACAAAAAGAAATTTGGATAGGTATGTTACTCACGGACAAGACATTCCCGACGCGAAGGCAGCATACAACGCACTTGTTGAGAGCGCTTCTTCGAAGATTATTTTTTTCTTTGTATCCGATAAAGATGTAGATGCTGGCGTGAAAGGTTTAGATTCAACGGTAAAAGACCTCATTCCTGTACCAAATACCATAGCTATTCACCAAGTAATTTCTATGCCAAATACTGATACGATCAAATATAGAAAATTAAGTTGTTTTTGTGGGACGATGTCTGGTTACTGTGCCTGCTTTGATATAAAGGAACATAATTTAAAAGAGAAAAAAAAGATTTATGAAAAAAAGAGAAAAATTGAGGGTAAGACCCCAAAGACCATTAAAAGAAGGCGTTTTGAAGGATCAAGTAGTGACACTGAACATGAATGTGAGATTAGTTATGCCGAGTCAGATGACAGTAGCTGGAAAAGTGAGAGTCGATTGGAATCTGAGTTCGAAGATAGTGAAATTATTGATGAAAATAGAATAGAAAGTAAAGCTGATGAAAATAATGTTGCGGTTAGTAAAGAATCAGAAAAAAATGTTGAATGTATTGATAGAAAAGTAACAATTATGTCAGATATAAGAGATACGCCAGAAAACAAGAGATTTTTTGATTTAAGTAAATATGGTCCTCTTACACTTAAACAGATAAATAAAAATTCGCAAATAAATAATGATATATACAATAATCCTGCCCCGTCAACGTCAGGCATTCATAACAAAAATAACATTAAAAAGGAAAAGGGAACATTAAAAAAACCCAACTTGAAACTAAATGAATCTAATATAAATAAAATTGACATTGTGGAGGCAATTATGGAGGAAAAAGAGAATACTATACAGAATACTACAACTGAAATAAAAAATAAAGGTTGTGAAAATAATGACAAAAAAGTAAATAAGAGTGAAAGGCAAATTGAAGTACAAGCAAAATTAAATGACATGATATACAGTATTAACGATAGTGTCTTAGTCAGATACTATGAAAAGAAAAAGTGGGTATATTATGTAGGTTTCGTAGAAGATAAAGAAATGAAAATGGATGAAATTCATTATAAAGTCCGATTTTTAAAAACTGTAAAAAATCCCTATCTAAAATATAATTTTACAAAAAAAAATCGATGTTGACGTTGTTCCAGCTATATGTATCGTTAAAATTATTAATTTGAAAACCGTGTTAAATGAGTTTCAGCTGACGAATGATGTTGATCATGTTTACTTTTAATTGCTAATACAAGATATTAAGTCAAGGGTAATATTTTGATGTAACACATATTTTTTTGTTAATCTAATGAAGATTGTAATGCACAGTATTATTATTTGTTTAGACTGATGTTTAATAATTTTAAATCTTTATTTTTTTATGTCATTTTTGAAAACTAAACTCAA